GCAGAATCGACTACCAGTGTCTTCGCGTGAGCCGGTATGCTTTTGTTTTAAATAAATTTGTTTAAAAGATACAATCCTTTCAAACTTTCTAATGAGAGAGGCATTCAATTTATTGAGAAATGGACCTTATTAAGATAAAGTAAGACTCACTTTGATTTGATTGAGGCATTTGTGAATCCACAAACTGAAATCGAATTGACTTGACTATTATTCTAATGTTCGTTTGTTTGTTCATTAAATCTTATGCCCTAATCTCAGATACTACTGGTTGGTGGTAAAACATCACGATACGACCAATACGAGCGTCGTGGGAAATATGAGGAAAATTCCCTTTTGGTTTTGTGGTGCGCTGCGGAAAAAAAATCAATAAACTACTAAACTATTTTGAGATCCTCTATAAATGATCTAGAAACAGTCTACTGGTAATTAATGCAAACAATAAAACAGCTTTTAAATAAAACACTTTAACGATTTAAAACGCGATATATTTTATTAACTTGTTTGAGAATTATGTCTAACTAAAGCCCGACGAGGGAAGCAACTTTAACTAAAATATATCGCGTTTTAAACCGTTAAAGTGTTTTATCTAAATGTGTACTACTTGTGTAAACTAGCACTGTATTTAATAAAACAGCTACTTAAAAATAAATTCAGAGGTAATTAATGAATCCAAAGCGAATATAGATCGGCAGCGCATCGTTACATGGCTGGGGTATTCCACCTTCCAAGTGAAAAAAAGCTTTATAAACTTCTCTCGACAAAGCAGTGACCTTTCAAAGTTAGAGGTCGAGTAGACTTTTGGAAGTAAAGAGTATGTTTGTCGGAGTGAAATCCAGCGAAGCGTTGTTTCAATGAGTTGGTGATGGGAAGTGGCAGTTGCTGGAATACGACCTCCTAAACTAATGCTTACACGATACTAGCTAGGGAGACCATAAGTTATGTCTTCGTCATGGCGTTAAAATTCAAGACAAAAACAATGCAATGAATTCTTATTATACTGATTTTTGGATGTTTTATTCCTAATACTACCGCCTTCTCAACACTTTAAACGTTTAATCACATATAGCCATTATTGTCCCAGGGCCGCCAGCGTAAAGCGTTTTTAATAAAACACTTTTATGTTTAATTATTCTTATTCTTAATGTATAGTCTTGCGCGTTTTAAGCCGTTAAAAGTGCTTTATTCAAATGTGTACTACTCGTCTACCTATTTGCAGGTAGATCAAGCGTACGCCGAGGGGGAAATAAGGCTTGGCATTGATATGGTTAAGCTTGAGGTGCTGGATGGGTGCCCACCCTAGTGAGGGAGTAACTGAAGACTAGGTTGCTTGGAACGTGTCGAGAAAAAAAAAACACTTTTTTGAACTTTTGAACCTTGAACACGATAAGACACTAAAAAATGTATCTATCAATCGTGGGGTCCCACTAATGTATTTTTCTTGTTTTTTATTTAAAATAAAAGTTGAGGAAGCTAGACATAAAGTTTTTATGTATATAAAACACTAAACTGATTAAAACCCGTTTTACTATTTAACCTAATTTTACGAAGTTTTCGATCCGTGGTCGCGGGGGAACTGAAGATGGAGGTTGTCACTAATGTCAAAGTCACTGCTACGTAAGCGACATCCATCCTCGTAATTGTAAGAACTAGCTGATTGTAATATAAATTACGAGCTGTACTTGATTCTATACTAATATATAAAGCTAAAGAGTTCGTTTGTTTGAACGCGCTAATCTCAGGAATTATTAGTTAGAATTGAGAAATTATTTTTGTGTTGGTTAGAGCATTTATCAAAAAAAGCTATAGGCTACGTCCTATAACAAATAAGAGCGAGGATAGAGCGGGAAATGTGACAACAGTTGGGAAAATTATTTATCATTATGGGTTTCCGAGGCGTACGCTGCAAAAACGGTTATACTCAAAGTTATAGTCTAAACTTAAAAAATATGTATTAGAGAATGATTGCTCTTTAAATGAACTAAAAAAAAAACCCGACGTTATATGTCTAGCTTTTAAAAATTTCTTGCAAGAACGACGGTAAGTTACGCGACCGACGTCGCAAAAAAAAACGGACGAAGTGTAGAGGCGAGCATACCAAACACACTTTCGGCTTTCCGTTCTAATTTTGTCGACTATCCTTTTTATATTTGTACTAGCTGTAGGTATTCCATATGTAAATAAATACATCAATTCATTAATAAGTAAATAAATCTATTTATTCCCCTACGGAATCAAACCGAACCGTTGATTATTACCATTAGACCAACGATTCCAAAATCATAGTCACCCTATTCCCCGTAATAAAGTTAACTCGAGGGCATTTACTTGCAAGTTAAACACGTCCGAAGTAACTCTGATAGCCAACAGTAGTTATTTCTTTACACTTGAACCTTTTGTAATCTATACTAATATATAAAGCTGAAGAGTTTGTTCTTTTGAACGAATATTTCATCTGTGGACAGCGGTTCGTGACTTCGGAAATTCGATTCTTACCACCGACTTATTCTCCAGATTTTCAGACGAAGTCCAAGATGTTTTAGAAAAATTATAAATATGTCGGATCCGGTGGGATCGAACCATCCAATCCAAGACGAAAATAATTTTTCAAATCGAACCTGTAGTTCCTGAGATTAGCGCGTTCAAACAAACAAACAAGCACTAATATATTACGCATTTCAAACCGTTTAAAGTGAGTAGTAGCATGAACCCCATCCAAAATGAACATCAATAAATACGCGTTTTAAACTGTTTAACGTGAGTAGTTGCATGAATTACAGCCAAAATATGCATCAATATATTTAACAAATGGAAAATAATTTAAAAACTTTTTGACTCGGACAGGACTTGAACCGGCATCGTCAGCGTTCCGTCTGTTGGTCTACAATAATACCAGTCCTACAACTCATCGATTATTTTTTTACCTTATTGATACATGACGCCCATTGATATATTAGGGATTTAAACAGTTATAACTGGTTATATACTTGAGTAGTTGCATAAACCACAATATATACCTGTAAATCCGATACAGAATTAGCTATAGCAAGTAACGGCAAAAAGTTTTAAATTCGCTGAATATTTTATCCCGGATCGATGAGTTGAGATCTGTTTAATTAAGTTTCGTTTTATCTGTGGGAAATTTTTTATCTACACCCATCTATATAAAAAACTATTTGCATATTTCGATCGTCACAACTTGCGGAATTTCTTAGCTTATTTATTATTCTTATAACTTATTCTAGAAGGTGAACTAAACGGTTAAACAGTTTAAAACATAAAAATAATGATTTAGTATATTATATCGGCTTTTAGGATACTTTACAGCAGAAATATAAAGCCCGGAGAATTTTTAGTGAAATAAAAAATTATAACGGTTATGGTTTATGGTTTATGGTTTAAACAGTCATAAAAGGGTTCAAACACTACAATATTTGTTAAGGAATTTTGAATTAAATCGTGAATTTCGCTTTTCAAGTTGTGGTCGTGGGAGCGTAAGAATAATAAAACCTATAAATAAATGTAACCAAGATTATAATTTTCGTAGCAAATTCGTAGAATAGCTTACTTAGCTTACATCGGCTCTCCTTCAAGTTCTTTTTCAGTAGGAATATCGACAGTGTTGTTACACGCATTAACTAATTGAATTTCAACCCGTTAAAAATGGTAGCAATGACTAATAATCAACCGGTCGTAGGTGCGATCTATCCGGTCCGTTTTTGTAATTAAGTTATAACCTTTCTAAAACATGTTGGACTTCTGGAAATCTGGATACGAAATGGGTGGTAGGAATACCTAAACGGGTGTCGTACCACCGTCAAATGAAGCCGTCAAGTTATCGCGTTTCAGTTTCAGACTATAAATTATCCAAAATAGGCCGACAGCGCATTTGTAGATGTATGGCTGGGCATCTATCATAAATATATAATAGTATTTAAAGTGATTTAAAAGATCTGTAACGAAATGTTATCCACACGTATTGAGTAAGAACAGGTGATCCGGAAGGTATCGCTGCCAACAAGTGACTCAATATAGCGTCTAATTATAGAACATGCGCCTGCGTCGCTATGATTTGTTTTCTTTCACGTAAGGGTAAGTGCACACGAGACTACTAAAAGATTTAGTTTTGCCCGTTTGAAAGGCGCGTTGGTCTAATAGTTGTAATGTATGTCTAATCAACGGGTTTGTATAGTTTATTTTCAAAATAAAACACTTGTAACGGTTTAAAACGCGAAATGTATTAGTTGAACTTAACCGGACCTCCTGTCTCCTCATGGCTAAGCAGTCTGCGAAATGGGCCATAGTTAAAAATATACTATAAATCAGTTAAACTAATATGTTTCGCGTTTTAAACCGTTAAAGTGTTTTTAATATATCATTTATTTAAATGTGAAATACTAGCGTTAACTACAGTTTCGTTTTCATAAAATTTAAAATAAGTTATCTATTATATTTTGCATTTTAAACTGTTAAAAATGTTTTATTTAAATAATTGGGTGTTTACATAATTTAAATAAACTGTCGTATAAAAAGCCTTAAATATAAATAGGTACGATTCTTATATCGAAGTCTCAAATGTATGACACAGTCACTCTGAGAAGTGTCGCAAGTAATGTATGTATGACCTAATTTTTACTAATGTAAAAAGCTGAAGAGTTTGTTTGTTTGTTCACGCTAATCCCAGGAACTACTAGTTCGAATGGAAAAAATATTTTTGTGTTCGTTAGAGATTTTATCGGGAAAGGGCTATAAAACATTGGGCTGTGGCTAATATATTATACCAAAAAAATATGTATGAAAGAATGATTGCATTTTAAATAATCTTAAACAATGTCAAATGCTCAAAGTAACTATTCTACGCGGACGAAGTCGCTAACATAGCTAGTAGAAATTAATAATAAATAATAAAAACAATAATAATCTAAGTACGTAACCACAATTCCCAACACTGACATTATGTGGCCAAAACGAACGAGATACTGTATAACTTTGAAATTACTTACTGTCATCCAAAATACACCATCTCGATGGAAGTTTCAAATCACTTTATACTTCGCGCCGGCGCACCTGCATAAAATAAAAGACACTGTCTATAGTTTACGCGAGTAGTACACATTTAAATAAAACACTTTAACGGTTTAAAACGCGATATTTTAGTTAAACTTATTTGAAGTGCCAGCAGCCGTGGTCACGGGGAGACTGACGGCTGCTGCAAAGCATCCGAAACGTCGGGCCGAAGTTAAAAATCATTTTCAAATAAGTTTAACTAATATATCGCGTTTTAAACCGTTAAAGTGTTTTATTTAAAAGTAAACATAACATAATTCAAACCTGCAACCAAAACTATTCACTAATACTGCCATAAAACAGGATAGTAGCGAAGGCAGTGGTTCGCACTAGTAAATAACGTTATAACTTAATTAAGGAGGGTAGGCCCAAGACAATAATTAGTTGACCATAACTTTACTATAATTGACCGAGCATTACGCCCCCGGATAGGGTTCAGACAAGTCAAGGGATCTATAGGAATTGACGGGAAGTTTGCCTCAACTTTGCTCCCGTCAAACTAGTTCGCATTTAATTTGACTACCCACATAATAAATGAAAAGTATGTAAATGATAATGATACTGTCTGTAGTTTACGCGAGTGATAACTTTAACGGTTTAAAACGTTATAAGGTTCAAAGTAATATTAGTTACTCTTATGTGGGAATTATTTTAACTACAGCCCGACGTTTCGGATGCTTTGCAACAGCGGTGGTCACGGGGAGACTTCCAAATAAGTTCAGCCAATATATTTGGCGTTTTAAACGGTCAAAATGTTTTACTTAAATTGATTATCATGTTGGACCCATTATGAACACCGCGATGTAGATTAGCCATTAATTAAAACTCTATAAATTGAAAAAAAAATATGACTCGGGCAGGACTTGAACCGGCATCGTCAGCTTTCCGTGCTGTTGCTCTACCAATTGAGCTACCGAGTCCTACACCTCTCGATGAACAATGTAATTTCAACCCTAAACTTTTCCGAAGTCTAAAAACAAACAACTTTAAAAAATTCATGAATCTTTGTTGCGGAAACCACGATAAGTCCACGACGCATCCTCCCTCAACACTCCAGCCAAATTCCCAGGCATAACAATTTAAATAAAACTTTTTAACGGTTTAAAACGCAATATATATTTGTTAAACTTATTTGAAAAAAAAACTTATTCATATGGCGTTTTAATCCGTTAACGTGTTTTATTTATAAATGTGTTGGACCCACTGAGGATGGAAGCCACGACCCGTTGATTGGCTATTACTACCATTGGACCAACGCGTCCTTCCTCAACACTCCAGCGAAATTCCCAAGTTGTTATAATAATTTTATCTTTCGGTGTGATATTATTCAATTCACGGCCACATTAATCTGCGCCGTCTCCTGGGGTGGCCCCTTTTGGAGGACTTTGAATATCAATATAAGGGCTATACCCTGTGGAAATGAGGGGGATATTTCCGCGCGAAACCGGACGTTTTTTATGACAAAGGAGAAACGATACACATAAAAGATTCAATGAATAATGTTGAGGATTTATCAATTCCTTTTTTAATTCGACGGGTCGTCGGTTTGATATTCAGACTCACTATCAAATTAAAAGTCGAGGATTTTTTTATCAAACGAAAATTTAACGGGTTGGAACGCGGATTATATTTATTTTAATGACTACATTGTCACACATTTACGTCATAATTGGTAGCGAATACTTCGAATAAAAGCATTAAAAAAGAAGAAAAATATCTATACTTTAGAGTTTGAATACTTTAAGAGATCAAAAGTTATTGTTATTTAAATGGTAACTAACTTTTGCATAGAAAAAGCAAGTCTTTCGTATAATTAGAATACTTTTTCAATTTCGTAACACTTGCCTATAATTACACGCAATTTAAAAATGGAACGAGCGAATTCCGCGCCGGATATTAAAACTCGACAAGACGGCTCACCTTCACCCACATTCTCGTTCCAAATTTGAAAATTTCTCTAAACACTTTAAAAACACTGGTAGTAAAAAAACTGTGGTAAGGTAAGCGGCCTCGCGAAGTTTTTGATTAAGCACGAATTTTGACACTTACTGTTGCGCGCGCGCCTATTAGTACGTTACTGTGTTCTAGCGTCTTGTTCGGCCGCTGTGATCTAAAAAAAGATAGAACAGCTCAGCAGCAAGACATTTGAGTGTAGGTATTCCTACGTCATAGGGTATTTCGCGTATTCAACAACATAGCTTCGTCTAAATGAGAAGCATCATTTAAATCATTTAAACGATTTTAAACGCGATAAATATTTTGACGGGCTCGTGGTGTAATGGTAGCATAATGATCAATGGGTCGTGACTCAACCCAAACATGTTTTTAATTTCATCTGGATATTAAACGGGTAAGAATATAAAAATTCCGCCCGGGTCATGAAACACCGTCCACGGATGAAAAGCCGTGAAGTTTAATCGCGTTTCAGTTACAGTCTGATGATTTCCGAATATCCAAAGCCAAAATAGGTCGACAGCGCATTTTGTTTAGATGCGATTAAAAATTATGAAAAAAATATTTTTAAACTACGGCCCGACGATTCGGATATAGCAGCTATGGTCATGGGAAGACACTTTAAACGCACTATGTTAAAAGAACGATGAAGTCCAAAAGAGGTTATATTATACCATAAAATAAAATTGGAAACTGATTTTTATGACAGTATAGTAAATTATATAAATAAGAAAATCGATTAACATTTTAAAAATTATTTAAAAATCTAAACTCGACACGGAAGCTCAATTGGTTATAGCAGCAGCACGGAACGCTGTGGTTGCCGATTCAAGTCCCGCCCCTGTGTAAAAATCAATCTAAAATCGATTTTTCACTTATACAATGTCATCACATCTTTTCAAACAGTATAGGACAGACAAGCAGTTGGTTTCACTTAATGAAACATGAAATTAAGATGTCCTGTCAACTTATTTAAGCTGAACATTAGGAAAATTACAGATTGATAACGTTGTTTTTTCACTTCACGGCTTTTTCATTGGTTGGTCGTATTTCTCTTATAGGATCCACATTCGTTTATATTTTATTATAGTACTAGCGACCCGCCCCGGCTTCGCTCGTGTGCAATGCTGATACTAAATACACTACAGAAAAACTCTGAACGTTGTATATAAAAACCTTCCTCTTGAATCACTCTATCTATTAAAAATCGCATCAACATCTGTTGCGTAATTTTAAAGATTTAAGCGTACATAGAGACAGAAAAAGCGACTTTGTTTTATACCATGTAGTAATAAATATAGACTATACAACAGAAACGTAATAATTTGAAGTTAATAATTTTATCTGAGCTTTCAAAAATAACTGAGTAACGTTCCGTCAGATGATTATCTGAAATTTATTTGGCGATGATATGAGACTTGGCACGGCGAGTGTGTGGGCGACCTTTAATGAAACTACTCTACGAATCGCATCACGTTAGAAAAACGATGGTCTGAAGCAGAGCGGATACACTCGTGCACAAAAGTAGTTTTGTCTTTATGTATTTATTTGTAAAACCATCAAGTGCGAGTGTACTCGCGCTGAAAGGGTTCCGTACTATTCACTAGATAAACAGTAGGCACACCAACTTTATGGTTAACTAGTTGTGTCTACGACTTCGTCCGCGTAAAATGGTTGTTTTTGGCATCTAAATTCGTTTTTACAAAATTCCTCTTTACCTTTATAATGTTACCCACGACGTCGGTCGCGTCCGGTTGTTCCTGCGCCTTAAGGGTAGATACATATACTGTCGTGGCCAATTTTTTATCATTAAAAGAAGAATCATCCTCTGATCAATTTTTTTGAAAAACTTGAATCTGTCTAAATAAGAAAAATTAAAATTTCTGAATGCGTTAATCCCAGCAGATCCTGGGATTAGCGCATTCAAACATACAAACAAACAAACTCTTCAGCTTATATAAATATATAGAATCAGGAACATAGAAGATTCTGATATAGGCCATATCAGAATCTTCTATGTTTCAGGTGGGTCAGAAATTCGAACAGTCATAAATTAATTCTCCAATGATTTATATCTCCTTAACTTCACAGATTAACAAAATATAACGCTAACTCTCTTTAATTAGGCATTGATTGATACTTAAATTCTTTTAATGTGAACCGATTCGTCGAGTGCATGGTGCGTTGGCGGTTCTTGATTCCGAAGTGCCCAAGATGGCCGCCCCGCTTCCACTGGTGTGACGTTGCGCAAGAATGGCGGCTGACAGACAGCTGACATATTATGTCATACTGCCATTCTGTTCCGACGTTGTCGACAGCAAACGTCAAATGTCATGTGTCGCGCCGTCATATAGTATAGATAGATTCTACTTAAAGAAATGTTAGTTTCTCTAGGTTAAGTACTGTCTATAGTTTACGCGAGTAGTACACATTCTTTAGGTTTTTTTTCCGATTTTGTTATTTACTTCAGTTAGAACGAATGTGTTTTCAAGCTGGTCCATTTTAAAATATTCACAGGGAAAATTAGGATGTAATGATAGACCACAGAAATCTAGGGAGTAGCAGCCGCGGTCACCATTACCAAGAATGACGAAACAGATGGCGCATCTATAGTCTCCTGCTGCAAAGCATCCGAAACGTCGAGCTGCAGTTAAAATGTATTTAGGTAAACTAAGAAATTTTCCGTTTTGTACCGTTAAACTGGTTTTTTTATGTGCACTGCTCGCGTAAACTATAGACAATATTTAGTTTGCATATTTTGCAATTGCATTTGATACAAGTCTTATTTTAAACGACAGAACGTCTTGTAATATATATCACTAGCTGGTGCACGCGACTTCGTCTACGCAGGATTAGGATTAGAGTTACGTAGTATCGCGCATTTAAACTAAATGATGTCTATCATATCATACATTACATAAGTATGTATAACTAACGTTTGTGGCAGCGCACGCCGGAATAGCTCGCAGAATGGTAAGTTTTTTTCTAG